ATAGTGCCTCCTGGGTTCTCTTTAGGATATCAATGGCATATCCACAATCAGATACAGAGAGTAGACCATCGTCTACATAGAAGTTGTTTCGGACAAGGTCGGAGACATCCTCACCATAGTTTTCTTTTACTGAGTCGGCAGCTTTTCTCAGGCCGTACGTGGCAATAGCAGGAGAAGGTGAATTTCCAAATGTGTGAACTTTCATGCGGTACTCGACAATCTCCTTTTCCATATCACTATCCTTGTGCCACAGGAATCTGAGGAGATCCCGGTCCTCTTCCTTTACGTAAAAGCAATGAAACATCTGCTGGATATCTGCCATAAAGGCGACTGGTTCCTTCCTAAATCTCAGAAGGATTCCAAGGAGGCTGTTGGAGAGATCGGGTCCCTTCATAAGTGAGTCGTTAAGGGAGACTCCTTGACATCGGGCGGAAGAGTCAAAGACGACGCGGAGAGAGCTGGGTTTTTTGGCATGGTATACAACGAAGATGGGAAGATACCATCGCTCACTTGAAGCGTTAATGGCTTGGGCCAGTTCGGCATGTCCTTTCTCAATGATTTTGGCCATGAACTGAACGAAGTGTTCTCGTTTTCTAGCATTTCTCCCAAGGCCAAGAGTTAAAGACTTGGCCCGCTTCATAGCATCCTTCTTGTTATTAGGAAGCGCTTGACGGTGGGGTCGCAAGGGAAGGGGAGCTTCCCAGTGTGCCCGTTATTGTTTCGGATCATCTCCTTGTCCATAATGTCAAGAAACTGGTGGTCTTCAATCGATAGTCCTCGATTGTCATCCTCGATGGTTCTTTCGAACAGACAGTTCTCTTTCAATGCCACCTCTTTAGTGTTGAAGTAATTACTGCAAGGATCAAAAACGGATGTACGACCGTTGAGAAGCAGTTGAGTTTTGTTGACGTTGACCCTGTCTGACCAATGTGCATCTCTCCCACATGGTTCTCCAATAAGTATCCAGCCCAGACTAAGTTTCTGTGCAAAGGGCGTGTTCTTGGGGCCCAAGCGCTGTTCCAGCACCCTATGGGCATCAACCATGTCCCTTCCAATAAGAATGCAGATTGAGGCATCGTCGCACAGAGGCGGAATCAGCGTAGCTATGTCAGTCAAGTGGGGGTAGTGCTTGGCGATATTGGGTAGGGGGATTCCTTCTCTGTTGTTTGGTATATCGTTGCACTCAATAAGAGGCGGAAGGTCCATGATAGAGTTGCCGTCGACAGATTCAGCGACATAGCCTCCGGCTCTCCTACCTGAAGTAGTGAATGTTCCTGCGCAGGATGTTAGGGTGTATTCGACTTCAGGGCCGTTCTCCCCAAATCCGTCAAAGAACTCCGATGATGCGAGGGACTTGTTACTCTGATCATCAATTAGAGCATAAACGTACTTGAAGTTACGGGGAAAGGTACTACGGTAGACCTTTATCAGCACAATCTTCGCGCATGATCTTCCAGAAAATTCTTTGCAGTTCAAAGTCGTACACTTAGTCCGAACTTCGTTGTCAGAACTAGTAGATTTCATAGTTGTTCTGTATGTGTTGTTGGATGCGTCATACGACCCTGGTGTGTGCAGGGCGGTGCAGTGTGCAGTACTTTGACATTTTTGACAGGTAATTGAAGACTCTGTGCAGTCCTTGGCAATATGAAGGTTTACTGCACAGCATCGAAAGCACACGCCTTTAGCTTTCATGAATTTCCTCCTTTCCTCTATGGGCTTCTTTTGGAAGGCCTTACATTCGTTCAGGCTGTGGGAAGTATTATGAAGGGGACACAGCACCTGTACAACTCCTTTCTGGTCAACTTCTGTGTTATGGACCATGACCGGTTTCTGGTGATATGACGCTGTTATACAGCTCTTTCTTTTCTCTGGGGCATTTACCACCTTGTTTTCTGGTCTCACCGAGTAATCGAAGCTAGGGTCATTAGCTTTTATGGCTTGGTCTGTCAGAAAGTCGACAAAGACATTAAAGGGAGGGTATATTACCCCAGATTGTTTCTTATAGTTACTTGCGTGTGTAGTCCACTTGTTCTGTAGATAGTTAGGCAGCTTCGTGACCACTGGGTTCACTCCTGCGGAGGAGTCGTAGTATGCCATAATGTTTCTGTACCTGTGTTGGTCCTTGATGGACTGGATTTCAGCTAAAAGGTCCGTGAGTTCATAGAGCCGCTTGGGGTCATTGTTCGGTATCTTGGACATAGCGGCGAGTTTCTGTCTAAGAGATAGTTCTACAAGTTCTGGTGAACCGTAGCGCTCTTCTAGGCGATTCCAGATTTTATCCCGGGCGCGAGTCAGGTCGTTAGCATTGGCAATGCGTAGGCTTTCTGCATGACGCCGGGCCGAGGTACTTGACAAGCAGGTCAATCTCCTCATGCGCCCTCAGACTGAGTTCCTGAGATATGTTTTGAAATGAGGCCTTCCATGACAGGTAAGATTCCGCATTATCGTCAAATTTGGAAAGACGGTGGAGCAGGAGTTCTTTTTTAATAAGAAAATTGCTTAGATGTGACAAAGCGTTGGTTTCCATCGATTTGTCCACATTAGGCTCGCAGTACCTCCAGTACTTTGATTTCTGTTCTGTTACCATACCAGGACTGTGAGTATGGCTTAAAGTAGCTGACGCGGGATTGTGCGCGGGCTGGACTGTTTGATGGTCTTCATGCATATAGGGTTTAGGTGTAACAGGAGCTGGATCGGCAAACATTTCCGGAGGAGGGAGACGGGGAACAAATTCGGATGCTTCGGGCCGCAAATGGGATTTTGGTGGTGCTAAGGTTATATCACCATGGGAACTTGAAACCTCCTGATCTTTAAGAAAGTTCTCTACCTTTTGTGTGGCGATAGCTCGTCAGGAAGATTTGGTCTGGGCCATTTGAAGGACTCGTTCAAAGGCTCATCGGTAACACAGAGTCGTGCTTGTGCCTCAGTGTATTCTCTCTCAGACTTGATAAGTTTGAGTTGAGCTTGCCTTTCCGCCGTCTCTATTTCAATAAGTGCTTCCTTCTCAGCAAACGCAAGTCTTACCTTGGCTGCCTCGGCTTTGATCTTCTCTCTCAGGTATACCGAGCTTGTTGCTGAGCCGCGTGAGCTGTGTGAGAGTTTCGATGACTTCAGTGATGGTGTATTGGAGTGGTTTATCCCAGATCTGTTAGGTAGGCTACTATCAAGTGGCAGGGGTACAGAATAGTCAACAGCCTTATCATTTGGTTCCTCATAATGTGGCGTAGGGTTTAACAACGCCTTTGGACCCCTATTCGATGTTCTCTATTGTAGGAAGAGATTTGTCCTTGATTCTAGAGAGTTAAATACGAATCTGTGTGTACTGAGCTCTCTGATCCTTTCTTCTGTTCTGGTGCTTTTGAGGAAGTCAATAAACTCTCGTGAACTTTGCTCATATTTCGTAAATGTAGAACCTACCTCGTCTACAGGTGATGAGGGGTCGTCCAGGAGGGTTTCTAGGTTACATCGCAACATCAGCAGGACAGACATGTGCTTTTCTACGGAGAGTTCATATAGGTTCTGGCCTCCTGGGGTTAGGCTTCTTATTCTAGAACTTACCACCGGGTCGTTCATTTCTACAGTCTCTCTGTAGTCGTATGACGAACGCAGGTTTCCACTGTGCAAACAACTTTCAGGAATTTATTGCAGACACTGGCTCACCCTGAGTCAGAGTGGAAACTACAATGACAAATGTACAAAATAAAGGTTACACGTGTAGTCCTACACTAACACAGGGTCACGAGTAATGGTACAGTAACACTTGAAAGGTATTCAAAACTGAGAATCGCGTTATCACGCTACAAAACAAAGTTATCTTAAAGTGTGAACATTTTGCAATATTATGTGTTGGGTTTCATTAATTAGTTACCCTATAGCGATCCATAAAGACTGTCACATTCAGGGAAAAAACACATGGTGTGGTAGTTTCGTTTTCATGACCGGAAGTAAACAGGCTATGCTAAAAAGGGAGTCGGATCGACGGAGAACCCGGAAAGTATGACGGCACATACAGAATTCCGATGTTTGATAATAAATTCTTTCTTATATGCAAACTTAGCTTGCATAAACTACCAAAATAATGGAGAATTGCATCCGAAGGATGCATTTTAAAATCCTCGTTTGCGCCATATCATTATTAATTTTTATCTATGCTATAACAACAATTTCATGAAATTTCCAAAATGTTTCCAAACATTAACACTTTTAACTGAATCCACATGAAATTTTCGTAAAACGGAGAATAGAAGCAAATACAACACAGTTCGAGCATGGTACACAGCCAATGGTTTCTGTAAATTATGTATTATGTCTTAAACTGGGAGAGTGTATCCACTAGATATATTGTGTTGTCACTGTCATTGGTTACGAGCCCATATCCCGTCACGAGTGAATGGAGGGTTAAGTGAACTTCAGGCTAACAAAGATATGATATGCTTGGTGAACTCATCGACGTATATTGGTCGATCAGGAAGGTTGAAATGTTGAAACAAACATTGATTTTTCTTCAACTGTTCCCTGAAGAACAATAACCATTTTAATGTTTTATCAACTATCCTTCAGTTTCGTCTGTAAACAAACTACACATAGCTTATTCGATAACATCAGCAAAGCTGTTAGTTATACACTTTAAGAATTGAAGGTTTTCTCACAGGAAATGTTTTAGTTGAGAACTGTTTTTATCCTTGCACGTATATATATAACAGGTTTTGAATCTTTGAAATGTTGAAAAATTTCAAAACACTTGATGAACCAAATCAGTAAGTCTTACATGATAAGACAAATATGGTGGTGAAAACTACATGATTACAAACACCTATTCTGTATTACCGTCAGTGATAATGTATACAAAGGGAGAACACCAAGGACACTCTGCCAACACTTGTGCATTGCAGGTTTTGTATTTTAGTCACTATTTTTTAATTGTTAAGAACTATAGGAATATCTGACTGATAAAACACATCAGTAAGTTTATCTTTTCAATTGTGCTAAATGATTACCATAAAATCAAATATTTAGTACAAGTAAATAACAATTCTTCATTGCTGGTAGAGGAAATATATATGACGAGAATTATTTGCATTCCGGTCAACCTTAATTCTTTCATATACAAACTAGGACTCTGTGCCAACACTTCATTTGTGTTTTGTTTTATATCCAGGAAAGCCTTGGTCCTTGCAAGAGTCGTCCGTGTGCCTTAAATGAACGATGTGTCCGGCTGTCGAATGGGAACTCCACGTGTGTCCTGAATCGTAAATATATGATTATTGTTCCCAAACAGTGTTTTTTATTTCAAACTATTACATCAGTATAAAGCGATCATTGTTTAACTGTATACTAGCTGTGGATATTGTAAGGGTTATCTCCCCTTTCCGGTAATTATTCTGTTCATTTCTCCTGTAGGCGTCTCCCTGCCAAGTTGGCGTCCTTAGTAATCGTGTTTGTTTGCAAAATGAAGACAAAAATCGTATACACACACACAAAGATTTAATATTCTCTACGAGTCGGACATTACATAAAACACAACTACAAACACACTACATTACTAGCGGGAGTACGGCTAAGGGAGAACTAGGGCGTCAATGCGCCCGGCGCTAACTGCAAGATACGGGCGTAACGCTGACGTTACGCCGTCGAATAATAACAATAGTTCCCTGGCAAAACTAAGGCCAACTTAACTAAGGGGGAACACACTTCGCCATCATCCTCGCCCGTCCCACAATACGTTCCTAGGCGCCCTAGTAACCTTCAGCCCAGCTCCCGGCGTCCGCGTTACCCCTTACGCCAATAACTTCCCGGCGTCCGCGCCAAACCCCTGTACTGTTCACTGTGGCAATCCCGGACGTCTGGCGAAGTGCGCTTTCCCCTTTGAGCTTTACAATTATTCAATAATATCTCACCATCAACAAGGCCTTCCTGCTTTGACTCCAGCGGAAGAGAGAAGGATGTTCCAACAACCCGGCCTTATATACCCGTAATAAATAACCTAGCTAATAAGGTCGTACTCCCGTTCAACTTCACAGGTGTGCTACGAATGACTACATTTCTATAGGACTGTCACGTGCACGTGATCGGTCACTGAAAGTCGAACTTATACCCCTTGACAATAATACAATACAACAGGAACTAACGAATACAGGTAATGCTTGTAACAAACTAAGGAACACTTGCTTTACATAATATACCGAAATCACGTTAAAAAATATCAATTGATAATAAGTTATTTTACAGTTACATTAAATCACAAAACATTACAATATTAATGAGAGTTCGATAATATTCTTTAAACGGAAAACTACAGGCCACTAACATAACTGTCATGTTAGTTACGTTAGGATTGTGTCAGGATCCTATGATAACCTATGTTTTTACCTATATTCTGGAGAGTTATCGATAACTGACAAACTCACATCGCAGGATTTCGAGAGATGCACGCTGATGAAAACGATAGGAATGATTTACTGACGTTGTAATATTCCAATCGGTAGATATTTAATATCCTTATGCGATATTGAGTTGGGCGTTAGTATACCTGTTGGTGTTATTTTTAGTTATGCTTACTCTTCCTTAACACCTGGTCTTCACTGTATTTTTTCAGAAGTCTCAGTGTAAATGTTATGTTTTCTACATCTACATTACCCAAGTTGTTTTTTTTTATAGAATGTGACTTTTGATTATGATTCTGTTAACATTCCAATAATAATGATAATAACTTAAGGATCTGTGGAAAATATTTAGCAATCATTTAAAGTTCGACTAGAGATGTTTGTCGCCATGACATTTTTTTCGTTTTGTTGTTTCAGCTCGACCAATCGACCTCGCTGTTATTATTGATGGTTCAAAATCTTTTGCGCTGGATTCATTTAATGATGTACTGGACTGTATAAGATACCTGATCAACACATTGTTTGACATGAGACTGGCTGTAGCTACATTCAATGTGAACACACAAATACAAATGTATTTCGATCAATTCACCAACAAGTCAAATATGTTACACGCTGTTAATAACTCACTGGTACATCCCCGTAAAATAGGCACTAATCTTGAACAGGCTCTACTGGTCGTCAACGATCAAGTGTTTAACCAAACTACCGGCGCTCGAATGAATGCTAAGAATGTACTTCTGATTTTCCTAAATCCGAATGATAATCGGGAAGAGAATTTAAAGGCGAATTCTGACTTAATAAAATCAGACGGTAGATGTATAATAGTAGTCGCAATCCAAAGCAACGAGAAAGGGTTTAAAATCGTTAAAAAGGTGGCGTCAGAACCGCTTCAAACCTACATGTTAAACGTTAGCTCATCTGACAATCTCCCTGCATTATATGAAACTATTGCTGATACCATCAACAAAATACCGTAACCAGAACATC